CTCTGTCATGCACCAGGCCGCGAATCCTGTGCAAAAAATACCACGCGGGCGACATGCGCGCGCGTCGCCGCGAGCGCATGCTCAAATCCTTCTAGAGTCGTCGCCGTCATTGGCACCGTCGCATGGACGTCCTGTCGTCCACGTCGCAAAATGCATGGCAGGAATGGGACGCGGCGCACACCCCGCGCCCGCCCATCCAATCCGTCCCATTCTAATCTGCAAAGACAATACACAGTTTTGTTTTTCTTGTCAACATGGTCGTGCTGTCGTCACGTCGCAAAATGCGTGGCAGGAATGGGACGCGGCGCACACCCCGCGCGAAGGGGTGACATGGTACTACTACTACCACTACCACTACCAACACCACTACCACTGGTACTGCTACTCCTGCCTCTTGGGGCCTCCTGGGCCCCCTTGGGGTGTCCTGTCAGACCGTCGGGCTTCCTCCGGCCACCTCTGGCTTCCTGCGGTGTACCGGGCCATTCTCGACTCGTCTGGCAATGCGTGCGCGGCATTCAACACGCGCTCGCCAGTTCCCGTCGGCAACCGCCATCGCGGCCGCATCAGCTGTACCAAACCGGCTGGCCGGTGTGACTTCGGCCCCCAGTTGTGCCAGCTTTGCTTCTTATGTTGTGTGGGAGGGCGGGTGGGACTGGGCATGCCATGCTTGACTCGCTCGAGCTGGCTAGCTTGACTCCTACTCCTACTCCTACTCCTCCCTCCTCCTCCTCCTCCTCCTCCTCCTCCTCCTCCTCCTCCTCCCTCCTCCTCCTCCTCCTCCTCCTCCTCCTCCTCCGCCCCGAGTCGGCGTCACCCCAAGATACTAATACTATATGTGCGTCGCCCTCCCAGAGGTGATGTGCGCACTGAGAAATCTTGTAGTATTATGCGTCCTGGCGGGCGTTTTCTGGCCACACCGCTCGGGAAACTATATACTACAAGATGGGTATACTATATGTTCGGGTCGGACGCGCGCCTCCAAGGAGGACATATAGTATTAGTATGTCTTTGTGCGTCCCACCGAGGGTGGGGGCCTGGCACCTGCTCTCATGGTGTCCGCGCCACTCCTCGGGACACGCCGTCAGACCCGACTGCATTCGGCGACTGGGGGCAGCCAAACCGGCTCGCGCCTATTGGAACCAGCCACGTGGCATTTTGCCCGTGGCAGCGGCGCTAGCCACGTTCCGTGACCTGGAGATGGGTACCAGGCACGGGGGAATGTGCATTTGGTTGGGAGGCGGGGCCATGTGGCCCGTAACTCACATGGCGGCCTTGTGCCCGCCCACCCTGGGGGAAAAACCCAATTGCGCATGCCAGCTGATTGGGTTGAAGTTGCTAGTCGGGAAGCACCTCGCAGTGACGAGTTGAACCGACTGCCCCCTACGCACCACGCCTTCTCGGCTGGGGGCAAGTCGCTGGGCGACGAGGTAGCTGCCGATCCCCTGTTCGTCGGTGCGCGCGCCTGCGGGCCCGCTTCCTCCCGTAAGGGGGGGGCCGGGGGGGCCAGTTGCCTGCCCTTGCGGCTCGCCTGCGTGCGGTTTGCACCGTGCACTTCCTGGACCCGTGACTCCATGACTCCTCCTCCTCCTCCTCCTCCTCCTCCTCCTCCTCCTCCTCCTCCTCCTCCTCCTCCTCCTCCTTCTCCTCGACCTCGTCCTCGTCCTCGTCCGTGTCGGTGCCTCTTTCCTTGGGCTGCTTCCTCCTCCCCCTCCCCCTCCTCCTCCTCCTCCTCCTCCTCCTCCTCCTCCTCCTTTTCCTCCTCCTCCTTTTCCTCCTCCTCCTCCTCCTCCTCCTCCTCCTCCTCCACCTCCGTTCCAAGGTTGGGGCTTGCGTTTCTCGTTTTACGCTTCCGCGTGCGCGGTGCGAAAAACTTCCAGGGGCGCGGCACCGAGCCGCGAGCGGCAGGGCCCAGCGAAGCGACTTCGAGCACGAGACCGGCGCGAAGCTGCGCGGGCAGATGCCATCATCATCAGGAGGAGAAAAAACACAGACACAATTAGTCGTCGATTCCCAGGGAAATATGGGAAAATAGGGGAAGTGGGGGGGGAAGACGAAGGCCCGGAAAGTATGGGCAAAGATGGGGGACATTTTTATTTGTGTGTGTTTGTTTGTGTGTCCTGGGGCCCCGTCACGTCAGGCTGGCATCTCACCACGGCGATGTACTTCCCCAGTTCGTCCGTGGAGCGGTGTTCCGCGCTGCGCGCGCCCTTTCTCGAAGGCCTGTTCCAGATCTGCTCTGCGAGCCCTCTCCCGATGGCGGTGTTGATGATGGCAGTGGCGTCCGCCCTGGTAATCCTGATGTTGGCGGTGGTCGTGCACGTGCTGGTGGCGCACGTCGTGGCCCAGCCGGGCCTTCATCTGCTGGTGGTTCTGGCGGGGGCCATGCTGTCCCCCCCCCCCGTCCCGAGGCAAGTGAACCTCGCACGCAGGAGCTTGGCGCCGACACAGATATGGATACCATCGACTCGTTGTCGACCCACCACTGTGCCGGCTTGTCCTT